TATTGCACAAACCAATTCATTAGGATTCTTGATTTTCTCAAATCAATCCTCTACTGTTGCCAGAGGTGATCTGTCTAAAATGCAAATCTAACCTTGCAGTTAGTTGCACTTTCCTGACACCTTTGCATGGCATGTTAGGCCTCACTTATCTGGTCCACAGTTGAAATTTTTCTGCCTCATCCTGTGCTACTCCCTGCCTCTCTCTTTCCACTCATTTAATAGTGGACCACTTGGAGTTTCCCAAACATGCTGTGCTGAGTTGTGCATTTGCTTATTATGTTGGTCCCTCTGGACTGCTTTCCTTTCCTCACTTGGTTAACTCCCACTTAACCTTAAACTCCTCCTACAAGGAGGAGTCTCTTCTCTAGGAAACTTTTTTTGGTATCTCCCATTTGATTGCTTCTTTGTGCTCTTGTAGCATTTACCAAATTGTAGTGAAAACAAGTTTAGAGATTGTCCTCCCCATTAGCCAGTAAACTCTTGGAGGTTCTCATTTCCTATCTAGCATGGTAGCTCTTGATAAATGTTTCCTAAACTAGGGAACTCATCTGTTTTTTGTTATGAGTCTGTTAACATCTAATATGGATATGCAGAGGGACAGAAGAAAAACAAGGCTGCTTGTAACTACTGTTGACTAACATTGGATCTTGATAGGTGTGTCTTGAAACTTTAGAAATAGATTAAATTGGGCTATTAAGAAAGTATCTATGTGTGTTGGGGTAGTGTTAGAAGAGATGAGGTAGAGATGGATGATGGGAGAAGTATGGTAGGAGGGCACAGATCACACTAAATTATCTAGATATGCTTTTAAAGTGAAGCTTTAGAAATCTTAACATTTATTTTCACTGTAATAATAATTATAGAGAGACTAGAAACATTAAATTTATTACCAGTACTCAAAGATTTAATTTAAGACTGGGTAATGAAGATTTGGCACATCACCTTTGAATGCTCCCTGCTATATGTTCCACAGTGTGGAAAAGATACAATCTAATTAGGAATTGATTATATTAGCTTTTTAAATAAAGAAGCTATTAGGTTACCAAAAGTAATTTAGATGCATATTTCAGATGTTTAGTACAATGACAAGTTTTTCTATAAAGAACACTTTCTTTGTGTCTTTAAAAGCCTACAGAAATTAGTGTCTGTCTTACAGCTGTAGTTTTAGATTAAACTGCTGAAAGTGGTTTTTACAAGGTGATACTTACTGCAGGCAATGTTATGATGGCAGTTGGATTGCTTACTCAGAATTTATTATTGCTTCCTGGTTTGCCTAGCCTTAAATTTCTAAAATCTAATACCTGTATCCTATAAGCAAGCAATGTTTTAATTAAGGAAGAAATTGTTTGCCTATTCACGTTATGTAATATAAAGAGGAAAAGAAATATGCTAGAGATTGGGAGAGTTAATTTCATGTGACCTTTATTTATTTTACTCTGTTCAGACGGGACAACAACCACAGAAGAAAAAGATATATATCTTATTAAAAAGGAGAGAGAGAAAAAGCTTCTTAGTTTTGTTTCATAGTGCTTAGGGGAGGCACATCTAAAACAAATCATGAAAAATACACTGTAGGAAAATGGAATAATCTAAGAAATTTGGGAGTGATTATATTTTCTGATGTATATTTCATAAAAACAAAAAATTTGAAAACAAATTAACGAAACAAATTACATACAGGATAAAAACTTAAGTGTTGTCTGTGGGGAGTTGGTTATGTTCATTGGTGGGTTATATTTTACCTTTGGCAAGTGGGGTAGGCTAAAAAATGTCCCCCCAAAAGATATCTACGTTCTAATCCGTGGAATTTATAAATGTTACTTTACTTGGAAAAAAGCGTCTTTGCATATGTAATTAAGTTAATAATTTTGGGATGAGGGGATTATCCGGCATTATCCAAGGAGGCCCGAAGTGTCATCACATGTAGCCTTATAGGACAGGGGGCAGAGGGCCATCACAGCCACAGAAGAGGATGGGGCAGTGTGACCGCATAGGCAGATTGGAGTGATGTGGCCACAGGGTAAGGAGTGCTGGCATTTACCTCAGGCCGAAAGAGGTAAGGTGCAGATTCTCCCCTAGGGCCTCTGAAAGAGGCACAGCCCTGCCAATGCCTTTATTTTGGCCCAGTGATACTGAATTAGGACTTCTGGCCTCCAGAACTGTGAGAGAATAAATTACTGTTGTTTAAAACCGTAAAATTTGTGGTAATGTTACAGTAACCATAGAAAACTAATACAG